ATTTATAACATGAAAAAAGATTCTTGAATCGAGAAACCATTATAAAGTGAGCTAGTAAATATTATCCATGAAAACAATATTCTTATCGTTATAAAAACATTATTGGTCATGTGATCTCTAAAATGTGAATGGCGATTAACATTAACAAACTTTGATGATGTATTCTTTATTTTGAATATTATATAAATATATGACATACTATCTACGAAAAGTCCATATATAATTAACACCCCAATGTTCATAATCTACGAAAATTCCATGTAGATTTATAATCCTCCCCCATGTCCAAAAAATTATTTGCAAGCCATACCAAATAATCAAATTAAAAGTCGTGATGTTGACGTCGTTTGTGATGCGTGTTTGTGTGTCCATAAGAAAAAAACTTTGCTTATTTACAAATATTTTAGACTTTTGCAATGAAATTAATGATTTAAAGATGCGAGAGAAATTAAATACTATGTACAAAAAGTTCATTGTTCGAATAAATACAAAATTTCTATTGTTCGAATGCTATATACAAAAGTTCATTATTTGTAAAGGTTGATATGTAATGTACAAAATCAATTGTCCGAATGTTCATACCGCCCCAACAATCGCAGTAAGCGGTCTCAACCAAATCATTAAGCGTCGAGTCCCATATATGCTCTATAGTATATTAAGTACGAAATTTGGTTTTGTTTGTGAGGATATTGATGAAGTATATTGTGTTTTATTATATGGATTTTATTATTTGTATGTTATTATTTAATGTGTGGTGAGCTCCTTTTATATTGTTTTCGATTAAACAGCCTATATCGATGTAAATAATTATCAAATGTTATTATCGATAAAATAAAAATTAAGTTTTTATTATATATTAAGCTTTGGTTTGTACGAGAAAATTCTTTATTACATTGCCATAGTTACTATAGTTACTATATCAAGCTTTACTATAACGTGACTGATTATTCCTTACACTTAATCTATTATAATTTTATTTTTTTTTGTTGCCACTTATGTCATAATTCAAGAATAATTACAGTAAACATGAAAGTTTATCAAAAGATTTAACAAGTCAAAGATAGATATTACTCCTCCTTTTTTCTGTGACTTAATTATTAATAAAATTTAATTATTTTCAAAACAAATATCGTCCTAAATTTTCGAAATTTTATTAGGATATTTTATATATACAGTCGCACTTCTCTAAATGTATAAATCCTCTCAATACATATTTTTTTATTAATTTCTTATAGGTGACTTATATGCTTATTGCATATTTCCTCTAATGCACATTTTAAAAATATTGTCCCATGGCTATGCGCTCAGAGAAATGCTACTGTTATATATATTAGAAAAATCAATTTGCATCGCTATGAGTGTAAAAGTCCCAATTTAGCCTTAGACTTTCAGCTTTAAAATCAAGTCTTGCTACCAAAAGAATTACCGAAATCAAAATTTGGATAAAGTCAATATTTTCATCACAAATCTAGTTAAATAGCACTTCAAATTTTTTGTTACATTTGTATCGATAATACAGTAAAGACTTAACAAAACTATTCGAAAATTTTTTTATCCAATTTTTGACTCATGTATTTAATTTTAACAAAATAAAATAAGCCTAAATTTATTATTGAGATGATTTAAATTGTTCTCTTTTCATCGATTATGTACAACAAAAACCCAACTCGTTTGAAAAAATATTAGTGATCGGATTCTTCCTATTCCAGGTTTTCTGATGAAATCATGAATAATATAAATAAAACCAAGACAGCGAAAAATTAATTTAATATATACAGTCCCCGGCTGGTGAACGTTTTCGCCTATATTTTAACAATGAAGCATCCAAAACTCACGAAAATTTGTAGAGATATTCTTTAGGATACAGTGCCCGTCAAAAGTATTCCCCCCAAACAATCACATGCATGACACTATAATTTTGCATGCGTGTAGTTTAGCCCAAATATAGATCACATCTGCATTTTGGGGGGGTTATACATTAATAAAAAATGAAAGCTCCATTATACTCGAAAAAAGACCTAAAAAAATGCCTTTAAATTTAAGTCAATGATATGAAATCATCTTTTTGCGCACCCACCCAAGCTGTCAATACATGAGACAGCTAAAACAGTTTGCTGTGATGAAAAAACAGTTTGTTATTGGGTCCAAAGATGGGGAGAAAACCAAGACTTGAGTGACAAACCAAAGACAGGCTGACAAAGAGTGACCACCCAATGACAAGACAAGTGGATAGTGGAGCTTGCAAAAAAAAATTGATATAATGGCCCCAAGAATTTGAAAGAAGATGATTAAGCAGAATATTGATATTAGTATACATACTATACAATATTGTCTTCATGAAGAGAAAGGCAAATACATGAGCAAGCTTTCAAAATCCCTTCTCACAGAGAAACATCAGCAAAAATGGCTGGAATGGATGAAAAAACATAGGAACTTTGACTGGAACAAGGTGATTTTTTCAGATGAAAGTACCTTTCATCTAAATCAAGACATAAAATGGGCTTGGCAGTTTCCTGGAAGGAGAAAGATAAGCCATTCCATGAAGCATCCTCTGAAGATTCATGTATGGAGATGTTTTTTGTTTGTGAACTTTGGCAAGCTGGTTTGCTTTGTGAGAAATCTCAATGTCAATTACCTGCTAAACATATATAAAATGGATCTTCTGCCTTCTGCTAATGAGCTTTTTGGTCAGAAAAATGATCAGTAGATCCTTCAAGAAGATAATGATCTCAAGCATCATTCAAAAATTGTAAAAATATGAAAGAAGAAAATAGATGTAAAGTTCTTCCATGGCTGTTGATGTCTCCTGATCAAAACCTGATTGAAAATATCTGGAGGCTCATAAAAAATAATCTGGCAAAAAAAATTAGAACTGTTAAGGGTTTGAAGAGGGAATTGCAAAAAGAATAATGTCATTTATCTAAAAAATATGTGGCCTAATTAGTCTCAAGTGTAAGAAAGCATGTAGAAGCTTTAATTAAGACTGAGAATGATTATATCATATACTAATCTTGTTGTATGAAATCAGAGCTTTTAAATAAAAAAAAGATTTTTTATTTATCTTATCTCCTCATTGACCTAGGATGGGGAAAATACTTTTGATGGGCACTGTATTATGAACAATATTCTCTAATAGTATAAGATATGCTAACTTAATAATTTTTTGCAGAATTTTGCGTCAAATTTGCCGGATTTAGTTTTGCATGAGTTAACTTTGAATAAAAATTATTTAAAAATATTTTCAATTAGCAATATTGAAAATAATTTGTTAAAATTTAAAAATTTTTTGTTTCATATTCATAGTAAAGTATAGTAAAAATGGATTTTTACTATGTTTTATTATAAAATTCATCAAAATAAAGCATTTTTTTATTAAATATGAAATTAAATTTACAAAATATATTCTTCATATCTTAAAATATATTTTCACAAAATTATTTTCAAAATTGCTTATTAAAAATATTTTTAAATAATTTTTTATTCAAAGTTAACTCAAGTCAGTACCAAATCCGGGACATTTGATGCGAAATTCTGCAAAAATTTATTAAGTTAACATTCCTTATACTATTAGCGAATCTTGTTCGTAATATCCTAAAGAATATCTCTACAAATTTTCATGAGTTTTGGGTGCTTTATTGTTAAAATATAGGCGAAAACGTTCACCACCATTACTTTCGCCGGGGACTGTATTATTTTATTTTATGCATGATTTTTATTTTATATAAATAGTAATATTTTAATTATACAATATTCACAGCTATTTTAGTTATGCATGTATAATATTTATAATTATTTGAAATAAAAATCACAACTATTACTAATTCATGTTATTATGTCATAATAATTAACCATCGGTTCCGTGTTCATAGAATATACAAAATTCTGCCAGTCTTCCAAGTCTTTATAGCCCGGAAATGGTTGCACCTTGATCTACCGTGTCAAGGCTATTATTTGGATTGCATGAAGAGGAACCATCGATTATGGTTCTTTGAGCCTTACGCTGATTTCTAAGTTGAATATAGAGGTCTTTAAACAGTTTTCTGGTTTTCTTCATTACATTTCTTCTAAATGATGGATGCCAATTCAGAATATACGCTCCGATCGATCGACGTATGGAGAAGACAACTCAACTTGGTGCATTTCAAACTTTCTTTGTTTGACCAAATTAAAGCACATCAGAAAATAAAAAAGCAGTTGGGGAGCTTCTTTTCTAATTTAAACTTTTTCGTATGTCGGAATCTCAATTCCCAAGTCATGCACACATTTCTGGTTAGAATGATGTGATGCCCCAACGAAAAGCTTATTTGCCGAATGATCGTAATGTATCTGGCATATAGAGATTTTTCCTGACATGGTCAGCGAAGAGAGAATGAAATTTTCTAGCTCTTGCAGCTTTTTCAATGAATATGTAGTATTTGATTTTTAAGTGAATATTGTATAATTAAGAGTTGATAATTTTTAATACATAAATATTATATAAAGCATTTTTTTTGATAAAATAGTAAGGGGATATCATCAAACATCGCATGATAGAGCTGCATTATATATACGAACGCCCGAGTAGAATTCTTGAATAGTTAGATCTTTTCCATTCGAAAAATATTCACGGAGTTAAAATGCGTTTATTCCGTTGCTTTGTTTTATCACATAGAGATTTCCTTATTTGATCAAAAAATAAGTTGAATTTTTAAATGCATGACATGCCTATTCCGTTGTACAATCACATTATCATCGAATCATCGAATTATAGAATGAAATGCGTTATTCATTTTCCCATTTTTGGTTGATGGAAAAAGTTATAAGAAACTCGTCAGATGGCGTCAACTTTATCAATAGAGAACAGATTTATATTACATGTTCGACTATTACGTAAAAGTAAAGGATGGTTTCGATAAATGTTTATAGACTCCGATATGGCGTTAGAAATCAGTATTTATAAAAACAGATGTTAGACCTCCGCAAAAAGTTTATTACCGATCATAACTCAAAATCAAACAATAATGCATCAAAATACTAGATTAAATGCAAGTTCTCCTTCGTTTTTGACATCAACAATGATTAAAAAAAATTTCACCAATTCGAATTCTTCGTTAAATCGCTCGAAAATTTTGCCAAATCAAAGCGAAATTCTCACCGATCCGCCGTATCAGTTATCGATAGAACTTAATGATCTTTTATCGCACACACAAAAAAACAGTCGTCGTCGTAATCAAATACCCAACGCACAAATACCACGCCCACAAAATGCTTACGTGTTGTTTTGTCGCGATTTTAGAGAAAGAATAAAAAGAGAGTGTCTTTGTGACAATTGCGCATATGAGAAATTTGGAACTTCTCAGACAACGGAAACTCGATGCGTAAAAAACTATCCATTTGAGGAAGTATCAAAATTAGCTTCGATTAGTTGGAAGGAGCAATCCGAAGAGGTAAAAAAATATTTCCACACATTAAGTGGTTGGGCAAAAGAAATTCATAAAATAGAATTTCCCGGATATCGATATTCTCCTAAGTCATCACGAAGAAACGATAACAAGAAATCGACAGTATTTATAGATGAGTCGAGTAAATTCAATAATTCTGAGGATTCTGATATTATTAAAGAACCTTTTTTATCTTCATCTCAAAACGAACCGGATTCTTTAGCGTTAGAGCTATCAAATGACCAAGTGATTGCCAATACAGTAGTCTTTAATAACGAAGTAGAGAATTCAAAAGAAAAAATTTTTTGCATATCAGAAACAAATGTTTCGATGAATCCCTTAGACAGCAGTAAAAACATAAATATCAATTTCAATTGCAATTCAGCATTTTCTGAGAACGCAGTTCTAAAAAAACAACCTTCACCAAAGCCATCCCAAAATGTCTTAGTGTCTCCATTCTTGTGGTCGTCAAATGAGCAGCCTCAATTGATGTCCTCTGTTATAAATGATGAAAACAATAACTTTGATTTATCTATACGAAACTCCAATGATGACATTTCGAATCTATATGAGTTGCCATCAGATTTCAACACTCTTCAATGTTACGAAATTTATGTCAATTACTTTTGATATTTCCATTTTATATATGCTATTTTTATTCGCTATAAAATTTAATTTTTTAATTTTTCCCGTGTATGCCCAATTTCATGAAGAGATTTTTAATCTCGACCGCATATAAACAAATAATACGCTTTTACCTTCTTTTTGATATCATCCCATGAGAAATGTGTACGTAAAAACTCTGTTATGTCTGTAAAATCATGTAAAAACAGCTTTTGACAGACATGAAAAACACGTAAAACGCGTTGAGAGATAAAATTTTACTACCAATAAAAGCAACCCTAATCCAAGTATCTTGGATTCAACGGGAACTCGAACTCCGGTAGTTTTCATACAGACAAATTACGAAAGAAACCTTTTATCATGCAAAATACGAACAGAAATGAATTAATTAGCGGGGAATTTTAATCTTCGATACCGAAAAGAAAAATAATCACAAAAGAAGAAGTTTTTGAACTAAACCAATAATATTGAAGCATTGACAATTTAACAAAATTACTATTCACGTTTCAAATTTGACACCACAGCACAGCCCATTGCCCCTTTTTCCCTAATTAAGTTAATGATTTTTTTTGTGAAATATTAATTTTTTAATTTTGCACATCATTGTTTGCATTGTAAGAATTCGATTATCCGAGTTCCTCGAGTTCCTGATCAAAATGGAAACTCACACCCGCAATATTTGTATGTCTGGACACAATAACACACTTATCGCATCACGTTGCGCATAGCCAACCTATCTATGAAGACGATTCAATCGAGAGAACAAAGAAGAAAGAAAAACTAATTACATGTATTACTCTGATTTTACTTATAAATACGTCGCGAATTTCACATCTGCCCAAAATATAATCATTCTAACACGCACACTTTTTAAATTCATCATGAAGAATCTTCATTTACTTGTTCTCATCGTTGCAACCCTCAGCAATCTCACTTTTGTTACATCTCTGAAATGGCGAAGAGATGTATCATTTGGTAGGCCGCACGTTATCGAAATATATAACACAACAAAAAGGTCTACTGGTAGTTGCTCAATCGGATATTTCCCATGCTCAAACAACCCTGGATGTTGTCCTAGTGGCACAACTTGCGCAGCAGGCGGACCTCCTTACATATGTAATGGCGCCATCTGTAGCAGTTTTGATGTTGATTGTGGAGACGGTACTTGCTGTAAGGCCGGCGAAATTTGCACTAGCGATGGTTTATGTGCACCAGGCTCATCAGGATCAAGCTCATCAGGATCAGGCTCATCGGGATCAGGTTCATCGGGATCAGGTTCATCAGGATCAAGCTCATCAGGATCAAGCTCATCAGGATCAAGCTCATCAGGATCAGGCACATCAGGATCAGGCACATCAGGATCAGGCACATCGGGATCAGGCACATCAGGATCAGGCACATCAGGATCAGGCACATCAGGATCAGGCACATCGGGATCAGGTTCATCGGGATCAGGCACATCGGGATCAGGTTCATCGGGATCAGGCACATCGGGATCAGGTTCATCGGGATCGGGTTCATCAGGATCGAAAACATCAGTTGTATTAACAACAACGCCAGCATCAGCGACAGTAACACAAGATACATCGAATCCAGCAGCTACAACACAAACCAGCATCGTCAAATTACCAAATATAGGATCTACTATAGGAATGAATCTATCGACTATATCAATAACAATAATCCTAGTTCTAGTTTCTCTAGTTCTAGTATAATATTTATTTCTAATAATACACCATTTAAATATTAGTAATAGTGGTTGACAACTATTAGATTATGTGTATTTAGAATATTAACAATAATGGTATTATAATTATTAGATTTAACATAAATATTATTATAATTATTTTAGCATATTTAACCAATTTTTCAAATATTTGTCCGACTCGTAGATGTAATATTTTCAAGTTCATATTAAATAATTGTACTTTTCCAAGTTACAGTTGGCGTCATAAAGATTCGGAATTTCGATATAGTGCATAGAATAATGAAAAAATTGTCAAAATTGCCTGATAATTTCATATCTTCTTTATAATCTGTAAATCAAGTTTAAATTTATTGTAAAAAAATAAGTCAGATTCAACAAAGATTGAGCTTATATTATTAAAAATAATATTTAAGTAATCCTATTATTTTATTATAGGAACGTTGTTCATTATATTACAAAGAATATATTTTGGCATAATTCTGACATTTTTTCATTGAATAATCAATATACAGTATATATAAAGTTAGTTACATTTATAGTTGTTTTTAGTTTTTTATAATTTAATGGTATTTTTATTAAGATATTATACCAATATGCCTTAAGTGACTTTGTTTTTTGTATCAAAAAACATATATTTGCAAAATTTCCATGTAATTCTTTATCAAATAATATGCTTCCGAATCTTTATGATGCCAACTGTATATTAAATGGTTCGTTAATGGAATTTTCATCCAGTTGAAGACAGATGATTGATAAAACGCAGTTATTTGCGAACGTCTTTTTTTTGAATTCGTTATTCAAAAATTTTATATTCAGCCTTCAAGATAAATGTGTTGAAAAAACTCGAATTTTTCAAGTTTACCAATTTTTAATGTTTAATCACGGTCAAGAATTTGGTCTTAATTTACCAATTTCAGTTTGAAATAGAATAAAACCACTTCCAAAGTTCTGTGGGCGATTTTCTATAAGTAAACGCATAGCAATCATTGAATACACAAAACATCGGTGTGCTCATGCCACAACCTCTATTGCCGAGAGATATCAAACGATGAGGATTTCGAGCCCGAGAATTCGTGACCTTCTACACAATAAATTTCTAAAATTACTGTTCATATCAAGCTTCGCCATTATTAATAAGACACAGACAAGCCTTTTAAGTACATCCCCCAAGGGAGTGGTCATAGGCGTATTTAGAGAAATATTTTTAATCTATTAGACAGGTTCTCTGCAGTTGAAAGTCAAAAATAGTATCTTTAGATAATTTTTGTTTTAGAACAAGAACAAAAGAAAATAACTTCCGCGAAGTTATCTACAGATTAGAGTTTGTAACCGGTATATTTTTTAATATTAAAATTCGAATATAATCCGGATTATCTAATATACAATTAGGAATTCATTTTGAGAAGAAATTTGTCTATCGTTTTGATATTCACAGCGACAGTTCAAAGATTCAATAATTTCACGTTTTTTTATTGTTCTACTAAATTGTTAACGCCGCCGCTATCTATGAATGTATTTTTAATATTGATATAGTTGATACGGTAAATAAACAATAAAGATAGCTTGCATTTATTGTATGCATGTAATGTAAATTATAAATAAATACCTTTCTCGTTTCTCAGTATTCATGTAACATCCCTTAATTACACACTGCATACATGTATATCGATACATGTATAACGATGATAAGCAAAAAATTCAAATTGCCATAATGATAATACATGTAGTGGATCCATGGTGTAACAAACGATTTCAACCATTGAGTAAACGTGAAAGTTTAAATATTAAACTCTCTTTAAAAGCTTACATTTTATCTAGCAAATTTATAATATCAAAACTATTCTGCTTTAACGTTCTTTCCCATAATAGTCAAATAATAAACCGCTTGCTCTATTCATACTTGTTATGGCTAGTGTCCAAAATTCAATTTCTAATTTGGTTGCGGGACCTGTAACCAACAAATAACTTACTTGATTTTATGCGCTTCCCGCATCACATACTTGCGAAATAAATACATGTATATAGTTGCGCATTTTTTAAAATAAATTTTTTATAGTAAATGGCACCAGCTTTTATGCAAAATCCAAATCATTATGATGATAAAAAATCCGGCAACTTTGGAACGACGTCCAACCAATTTGAGCTACATGTATTTGACTCGTCTAATCTAGACAAATTGTATGGTCCTATTTTTGTCTAAATTGGACAGTTGGACATCAAGAATTCGCGTCCCAAAGTCACCGGATTTTTAGTTTTTTTATTATTATGAAATCATGTATTATGAAAAATAACACAAATCATATTACATGCAGTAAGATGAACAATATTTAGCAAATCCCTTTGGTTTTTAAATGACAAAATCCGCAAGTAGAGTAAATATCTTACTCGCGGAACATGCTTAACTTAAAATTCATGTGGGAAGATTTGCGGAATCCGCCTTTGCATATCAAATTTTGGTTGAGAAAAATTAAAATCGTTTTGCGGTTCGCAAGCGCCGCAAGTCAATTTTAGACATTCAAAAAATACTGTATTACACAAAAGATCATAAAAAATTACTACGTATCATATCGTTACTGAATTAGAGGATAAAACTTTATTTCTTTTAAAATCCCAACCTAGAAAGATTAGAAAATACAAATTTATTTTTCTTATTTTAACTATTTGTGTCTTTAGTTTCCTGTCTTACCGACCTTTACACATAGCTTATATTAAAAGATAACAAAGTATTGAGCCAATAATTTGATCCCTAAACAAATCTTATGCGATATATGACTTTAAAAAGTTATTCAACGTGTCCCGATACGTTACATTAAAAGGTTTACGCTCATTATATCAAAATAGCCATTAAAAATACAACACTCTGAAGTTTTGGCAAGATTAACCAAAAATTAACGTCGGTACGCGTTTTCTGACGCAATCCTTTTCTCGCAGGCAATGTTAAATAATGAAATTGATTTCCTTCACAGATTGAACCTGATAATCAATAAAGACAAAATTTCCTACCTATCGCGATCTATCAATGCATTTAATATCGATATAGCTAATGTAATAATAAAGATACAATGTAATTCGTATTGCATGCATGTAATGCAAACATATGCGGAACTTGTGCTTAAAGTTATGATTGAGTTTTTCGCAGGTAAGTAAGTAATGATAAGGTTATTTTGTAAATGTGTAATACTGAAATTGTGTTATTCTCTAATGCTGCTAATATAAACAAGCATTTAAATTCCAATAGGTATCAACTTTTTCTGCTCTTATATGGCGCTCGTAAAATACCAATCAATTATCTGATTATATTTACACAAGGACCATCTTTATGAACTTTAAATTTATTGTACTACGAATTAACTTCGACAAAGCAAGGCAGATAATGATTTTTACATACTTAAATGTAGCACAGCCCAGCCCAACATAAAAAGTTTGTATGCGTATGTATATAGATAGAGACAAAATTTTAATCCGCTTTTTGCTAAAAAATCTAACTTCGAGAAAATGTAGAACATTATATTTTTATAATAAAGTCAATTTTATTTTCCCTCCTTTAAATCTCTTGTAACATCAGTTTCCTGTCTTTCCGACCTTTACGCATAACTATATCAAAAGATGCGCTTTTTATAAGTTATTCTCCTAAAAAAGTATTAAGCCAGTAATCCGATCCCTGAACAAACTTCAATATATGATGCATACAAACCATTCAGCTTACACGTGTTCCAATACATTGAGTTAACAAAGGGTTTGCACTCGATTCTATGACTACAACGCTCGGAAGTTAGTTTTGATAAGACTAACAATCAATCAAAAGTTAAATAATAACGGAAATCAAAACAACATTAATATCACCTCGAACTGAATATAACCCCTTACATATATAAAAAATTATTTTTACTTTCGAACCATTCCAGATGAGAAAATAGTCGAGAAACAGAAAGTATACGAAAATCTATCGTTTCGAAGTAGATAGTACTTTTGAGAAACGATAGGAAAACTTCTTAAAATCTCGAAATATCCAACGAAAACTCATTATATGATGAATTATTCGCGTAATGAGCAAAACGACAAAAAAAAATCGACAATGATAATACGAAAAATTCGATACGATGAGAAACATAGATTGCGTAACATATATATATCTCGATTAAAAAATTCAAACCGGAATCGTTAAACCTACGACAGTGGAATTCAGGAGTTTCCAAATATTTCGAAGATGACTGTATCATTACAGGATTCTTGAACAAAGGTAGTTGGCACAACACATGTAGATTCACTATTGTTAACTTAGAGGAATCCTTTCTTTGACATGTCAATAAAAATTCTCTATTTTATTTTTTTGGGATATTAATTATAAAACAACTTTGTAAAACATTTTGTTAAGCACTGGATTATGACGAACTTCTTTGGCATGTTATGTCATAATCTTTAACCGTCATGCTTTTGGAACTTTCAATTTTTCTAAAGTTGCGAAAAATAATTAAAACAGCAATTTTTTGATTCTTTCGTGAAAGTTGCTATGGAAAATGATATCATGTTATGTTTATATTTGGATAGCTCGAGTATTTTTAAATGGCTTGGGACACATTTTATAATATTAACTCGGTTCTTTTTATCTGGTGGACTGGCGGATGCGGAATCGCGTCACTTTTATATATCATAAAAATTGTTATTACTCAAAGAGTATTTTTATTTTATCAAGTTATTTACATGCAAGTTAGCAACATAAAATGACTTTGATTAGAGAAAAAATGTATAACCGAGAACAGGGAACCTGGAAAAAAAGAATGAATTTTTACTCATAATGATTTTTTCCCAGGAACGTGTACATCTAAGCGAATCAATAACGTGACTTTTCTGTGTCCCATATCCGGGATTTACTGTTTTCCTGCCAAAATCATAATGACATCATATCGATACTTGTTCAAATCGATGATCACCATAGCTTTATTCGATGATCACCATAGCTTTATTTGTAAAGATTGCGTTATTCTGATGTAATGAACGCTGATTTATCAATATGACGTCGATCTCAAAATTTATATATATGAGGTGTCTGCTAACCCATCGGAACTCAAAGAAATCAATAACAATCGCAATGACTTCAATCATAAACAAATTCTTCACTGGAAGTAATGATGTTGATCAAAAAGAAGATGATACGCACGGTAATTTTTTTAACCCAAATAATAATCTCATCAAACACTTTTAAATTCAAGCTTCATTTGTCCATTAAAAATTTTTAAGATCAAAAGAAAAATCTTCCGCCGGCGAGAATTATTAAGGAAGGTTCGACCGCATTAGAAGGTGTTGGAACCAATCCAACTGGCCGTAAGTATTAACTGAAATCGTAGAATACCAATCAATCCCAAACTTTGGCGATCCTGAATAATTTTTTTATTTTAGAAAATTTCCATGATGACGATCAATCTGACATTCCGGTTGCACGTGTCACTGAAAAAGGTTCGACCGCATTAGGAGGTGTTGGATCTAATCCAACTGGTCGTAAGTGTTAACTGGATTGTAGAATATCAATTCACTTCTAATCAATCCCAACTTTAGCGATTCTAAATAAAATTTTTCTCTTTTAGAAAAATTTGAAGACGAACCATCTCCTGAAATAAAGCGCGCGGATTCCCAACCCCATAAAGATCAGTCAACTGACAATAATCTTCCAGAAGCACATGTCATTAATGAAGGTTCGACCGCATTAGAAGGAGTTGGCACTAATCCAACGGGTCGTAAGTATTAACTGAAATTGTAAAAAAATATCAATCAATCCCAATCTTACCGATCCTGAATAATTTTTTCCTTTAGAAAACTTCAAAGACGAACAGCCATCTCCTGAACAAGAAACTGTAGATTCCCAACCCTACAAAGATCAATCAACTGGTCACAATCTTCCAGATGCACCTGTCATTACTGAAGATCAAGCAACAGGTCACAATCTTCCAGATGCACGTGTCATTAAAGTTTCATCTGAGTTAAATGATGGAATCAAGTCAACTGATGGTATGTATTATTAAATTTTTATCTCGTTATCAAATGATTAAACTTGATAAAGATTCTTATCAAAATTCTTTTAATTCAGAAATTAATGATACGCCTCCATCTCCTCAACACTCGGCCAGTGAGCCCAATGATGACAAGAACAACCATACCGTAAACGAAACATTATCAAAAGAAGGATATGAGAAATTAGTTAAGGGTGAAGTCGACACTAATCCTGGAAGTCCAACCACTCAAGATAAAGCAAGCGGCGCTATTGATAAAGCCATTGGTACGGTCAAGGAGAAAGTCGGAAAAATCGTTGGAAGTGAATCCATAATAGAAAGCGGAAAAGATCAAAAAGCAGAAGGGGAGGCTAGAATGCATGGGGAATCCTATGTGCGTCAAAGAAAGTTATAATCAGTGACTATTTAATCATAACATACAGTATATAATTTCTAGGAATGTGATCATTTTGAAAAATATCTTATTTTATCGATTTCACTCTAAATATATAAAATGCAACGTTACAATATCAAATGTATTTATGAAATAAATATTCTGTAGCTCTAGCAAGAGACTTATATCCTTTAGAAGTGTGAATGTTTGATTAACCAATGTTTATCGTATAACGGAAATAATGATATTGTGACTTGGCTATTCAGGAAATTGCTTTCGTTAAAACATCAAGTTTTTGAATCTCATTCAATGAACCTCTTTTTGTTTATATTAAATTTTAAATTTAATTTTTATTTTTCAATGTTTTATAAATACAATTTGATTCACAAGATTCTAAAGTTAAACACATTACAGAGCATGTATCAGAACATATACAGTAGCAATCAAAAGAATGAAATGCTTGTTTTATTATAATTAGTAAAATGTGGTTTAATTTTATTAATAAATATGTTTTGTTTTTAGCTCAAAATAAATAAGTTTTTAATGTACAGTGAACCTGGATATAACGAAGTGGTCCGTTCCACCTATTTTTTTCGGTATAACCAAGTTTTCGTTATATTCAGGTAGAAGATTATATTAAAAAAAATTTAGTGCATCAGATAACTTCATTATAAATGAAAATTCGTTTTATCCAGGTTTCAGGTTCACTGTGTAATACTTTTTTTATTTGATATAAAATTAGCTAATTTTAAATAATAAAACTAATTAACTTTATGGTCCGGTGCGAAAATGTCCGTACCTCGCAATATTCTTAATAAAAATTTTTTTTACATAATAATTTTCTTTCTTTTAAAAAATAAAAAACTAATAGGTATTCGGATTTATTATACGATAAAAATTTTATTGAAATTCATCGTCGTCATTGAGATCGTCATCATCATCATTTTCTTCGTCGAATAAAATCGCATCATCATCTGATTCTTTTGCTCTTGTGAGCTCTTTTCCATAACCCTACTATTACTTTTGGTGTTATTTTTTCTTTAAAAGCATGTAAAAGCTTATTTCTAACATCTAAAAGATCTAAATGTGGGCCTGACTTCGCTACTTCACCTTTTACTACCGCCCAGACACCCTTAATTGGCTGAAGCTCACAATGGTAAGGAGGGGTAAAAAAAATTTGATGACCATACCACTTTGCTATTTCAACACAAGTAAATGGAAATCTTTTCTTTGTTTTTTTGCACAAGTTCTAGAAGCTCAGGTCTGTGTAGTTCATCAGAAAAAGAAACTTGGTGAACAGTTAACCAATTAGTTATTTTCTTTTTTTTTGGTGCTTGAAGTTGGGATGATTTTGATTCATCACTTATGGTAACATACACCATCCATGTGAATATTTACTTGGCCATATGTTTTACTAATTGTTTCTCAAAGTGTTATGAAAAGGTTTTCAAAAATATTAGCATTGAAGTTTCTATGATAGTCCACTTGGTTGAAAATAATAGCATTTTTAATGCCATTCAGAATATTATTCCATTCTTCAGCATTATGTCATTTTCATCCTCAAGTTCTGGAAGGTTTGATTGCTGGATTCCAAAGATAAATGAAATTTGGCATAAGCTCACCATGTATCTTATTGGTACTGCCATTTGAAAAATGACAATTGCTTCAAAAATTATCAATAATAGACCATGTTCTGATATTAGAATGATACCATGGTGAGGTATTCATATTTTCAGTGATATAGTGGTGGTGGAAAAAAGTGACAATTCTTTTTGTTTTAGAAATTATGTCACCAGATCTTTTTTTCCATTACAATAATACTAAAATCAGTTACAGATATATTTATTATGTGATTTAAGATAGGTAAAAAATATTTTTATCATTATTATCATTATATATGAGTTTTCTCACAAGTTGTCAAGTTGTTGTAAGAATGTAAATATAGAAAAGTTATCAAACTTTGAAGAATAACTGGATTTTCTACCAAAATATTATATAGATAGACTGTCAAGCTTGCTAAAATAAATGATCTAAAGTTCAGATCATTCAAAAAAACTTAGCCTTGGGCAATGAAAATATCTTGGACAAATTGCAACTAAAAAAAAAGTACAATGAGCAAGGAGATAGTAGAAACTCTTAATAATACTTATTCTAATTTAAATATAATATCACAGATAGTTCAGTAAAATCTACAAGAACTTGAATTTAAGATTTGTATTCTATAAAAGATTTCTTTTCTCATGAAATTAGTAAAATAATATTGGCTTATCTGAATGAAAAAATATTAAAAAAAATGATAGAATACTATAATTTTCTTTGATAAATTCACCTTTCAAATATTTTGAAATATGATTCAGATTCATTATAAAGCTGAATAATCAGTATCAACTCAAGAAATCATAAAATATCTATTTAAAATATATATATAGAGAGTATTTTGCATGAAGAGAATTGTTGGATTTAAAACTTTTGTAAAAATTATGAATGGTCAATTATATCATAAAATACTGATCAAAAATTTATTTGAGTAAGCAAATCAGATTCTTAATAACAAGTGAATATTTTAATAAGATAATAACTCTAAGCATTATGTTAAGCTTATGACTATTTTATTGAATGATCAGTATTCCTATATACTTAATTAGCTATTATACTTATTAAATTTTAATCTGATTGAGAACTTGTGATCAATTATGAAAAAAAGAGTAGAAAAAGGATTAACTTGATAATTTATGAAAAAAAATCTGTATTACAAGAGGTTTTTATTAGAATAATAAAGAAAAAGTAAGAAAAAATTAATGTGAAGTTATGTTAAAAATTAGTATAATCAATATCAAAATATCTTGAGCTAGTTATAGATAATAAAGAATATGTAACAAAATATTAGAAATTAAAGTATATATTATAGACTAGTTATAATTAATTTTTAAAATTTTTTAAATAAAAATTGCATAAATTAAATCATATTATTTAATTATTATTTTTTTTGTTACCATTGTATATAATGCAAATAATATATAACTTATCAAGAAAAACTTCTGAAAGATATAGAATATCATTTTTGTTTTCTAGATTGACAAAATGATAATGAAAATAATGATAATGAAATATAATATTATTTGATAATTCATAAGAATATTTCTTTATCCTTTCTGACTATAATAATAGTCTAATTGATATAATATTTAGAGAAGTTGTCACTTGAAAAGTGTGTATTCTTGTTTAGAAAGAAATTATCATAAGAAAAGTGTGAAAAGTTATTATTTTGTCTTATTATTATTTATAATATAAGTATATAAAAGTGATATAATATTTTTGTCTACTTTAAATTTTAGTCATCCAAGATTTTAATGACTTAAAAATATATTATCATTATGCTGATTCTAGTTAAACAACACAACTTCAACTATATTTTTAGCAATCCCCAAAATCAGGGTAATCCACTTATATAATATCATATTTTAATTTTGCTTGTCTATAAATATAGTTTTAGAAAAGTATTTGTAGGTATTTATTATCATTTATTTTTTATTCTTTTTTAATAGTATAGTATTTTGATTTACTTGAGAACTAGATATAAGAGAATGATAAATTTTGTAAAAAAAATATATTTATATATAGTTTTTTTATTATATGAAAATAGACTTGTTTAATTTATTATATAATGTCAAAAGTCTTAACTCAAAAATAAAATAGAGTATCTTTAAAATTTATCACAACTCTGTAAAAATAAATTTTAAAAAAAATAAACTGGTAATATTTTTTTTGAAATAAGCTCTTTCAAACTACCAATCAAAATTTTCAAATAACTTAAATATAAAAAGTTATAATGATTTAAATTTTTGTACTTTTGAGTATTTTATTATGTTTAGTTCAGAAATTGAAACAAATTTTATCATGTGACTATTATTTGATTAGTCAATTTTAGTAAATTTTATTGGCTGTAATATTCTATTGGTCAATAGATTATTTTACGTAAGTAGTAATTGAGGATTATGCTAATTTGATTGGTATTTATAAATAGATTATTCTCTTATTGGTTTAGAATCATGTGAGACTAACCACAGATTGCAAGAATGCCATCTCATATAAAGTGACAAAAATAGGTAAGCAATTTGCCAAGAAAGAAAGGTCAATATATCTCTAAAAAAAGATACCAATTTATTATGAAAAGAGCCACTGATACCTATAATGAGGAATACCAAATTATCACAAGAATAGTTATTGATATCACTGACTCTTTTGATGAAAGAGATGCTATGGAGACAGTCATCAATATTCAAGAAGTTTTCAAAGAATGAAATTTGAGAAAGTTTCAAGAAGTCAAGAAAAGATTTCTCAATTGATATAATAGTGTTGGAAGTAATCTTAGAACTATATATACTGGAATCTCAAGAATGATACTATAGAAAAAAGATAAAGAAAAAAAAATATAAAGAATATATTAAAGAAATAAAAATGATTAATATGTTTTTCTGGCCTATGCAAACTATCTTACCTATACAATATTCTTACCTATCTTTATTACATATCTGTTTATAAGAACTTGACTAATAATATTTAATAGAAAAATTCATGAAAAAAAATAATAAAATCTTCATATACGATTATTTACGTCTTCTCAGTATTCACCAATTTATATAATTATTATTAAATAGACAATTCAAGATAAATATCAGTCATCAAATTATGCAAATAATATGATATAAAGGAGATTATATGGCCATGTGTATTAAAAAGTGGGGAAGTCATTTCATATAGATCAGAATACTTCAAACTTATCATTAAGAAAAGTATATGAAGCTTGAGAGTTTGTTAAATGATGAAGATTTTACTGAAAATTACAAAGTATAGCTCTGACAACAAGAACCAGAAGTATGTTCTCTGAAAAACTTAAAAGCATATATTGAAGATATATTATTTTCAAAATCAATAGGTTATATTAAGAAAGATACCATCTTCAAGAAGATGTATCAGAATTATATGTATTCTTAGAGATAGGTATGATGAGAAAAGAAAGA